GTATATCTTCCTGAAGAGAGATGGTTGGTGGGCGTTCCGCATGAACGCTACCATTTTCCTAAACTGGGCTAGCATGTCCCCTTCATATGCACCTGCCCAGCAGATACCTCTCTTTTTCAGATCTGGATTTTCCCCGAAGGAACACGAAATCATGGCGAAGGCATGCTTCCTTTCAAAAAAGGAGCATTCAACATTGCAGTTCAGGTATATTCAGATCACGAAGAGAGATTCAGCATTCTTCCCAAAATGTCATTGTTCCAGGGTGGTTTCCCGATAGTACCCATTGTTTTATCCAGTTATCGACCGTTCTACTCGAAAACCGATCACTACTTCAAGACCGACGGCGAAGTGATCGCAAAAGTCCTCAGTCCGATAAGCACCGATGGGGTATGACTATCGATATTTCTCATTTATTTCGTTGATTTGCCATTTTGAACGTCTGAAGAAAAAATACCGTACTTATTTCTTAAAGAGAGAGAGGGATAGTGCAATTTCCTGATAGACTGAATCACTTCCATGTACAAGGTAGCCCGGTTAACCATGGCGGAGTTGTTATTCGCCATTCGAAAGTGAATGGCAAAAGCACTGAGGTCGTTTTCGCCGTAGTAGGCTCACTCACTGGTCTCGACCCACACAGAGACGATGTTTGCTATTGTACACTCCTCTTCATTACGGACTGTCGGGGTGTAATCAGCCGTGTACGGCAGTGCGCACACTGTTTGAAGCCGTTCTCAGACTTTTCTTTGAAGCGCGTATGCGACAAAAAGTGGTAGAAAACGAGTAATACGAAGGATATAATGCTGTTATGTCATTTGATCGCTTCAACAACTGGTGCAGAAAGACTTTGGAACCGCGGAAAACGCAGCCGCACTGCCCCGACAGTCCGTAATGAATGAGGAGTATATTTGTCTGTGTGGGGACGTTGCATGTCGCCTCTTTCACCCCTTAAGTTATCTACTCCTTAACTGCTTCCCACTTGCATCATGTCTTCGCAGTGATCGCCCAATGCCTGAACAATTGCAATCTGCAAGCAAGAGGGCGTAATACTTGAGTGCATCCTCTGACACTGGTTTAGTTCTGTTTGTTTTTTCTTACTGGGCAGGGCGAAGTCAATGCATATCTCAACCAATGTGTCGGACACTAGTATCCAATGATCACAGCCACAAAAATTGTTTTTTTTTGATAGAGGTATTTCTTATAAAGCTCTGTTCATGTGTAGCGACAGAAAATGACGACGAATCACTAATTATCGACTACGAATCAAGTAAGCTCAGGCCACGCCTTTATTGTGGGTACCACGGGGGGGGGGGGGGGGAAAGGGGCACGGCAAGGCTCATCAAGAAGTGGAAGAGCAGGCAGATATTCTTGAGTATCATCGCACTAACTCATTGATTAATAAAAGATTCATTCACAGTTTTGCTGTGAAGAACTTCTGAAGAGATACCTGAAAGCAGAGGCAAGCTGTAAGGTCAGAAGTGGTAACGGCTAGAAATACGGTAGGCGCCAACGGCCACGTCATGAATTAGTGAACAAATAAAATACAGTTGCGCTCCGGCTTGGACTTTTCTGAACCGTAGGAGCACATCTGCTTGCACGAAGAAGCCTTTCCAATCATAGTCTGCGTGGAGAGGAAATTGTTTCACTGTCGTCCGAAACCCTGTCCACATCAGAAACAATAAAGCACATAATTGCCGCAGATTTTTCAGATCCGATTTTTCTCAACCAAAATAGTGAGGGCGTGGCGTTGCTGGTCCTTTGGATTTAGGCACTATATTTGAGAGATCACATCTGAAGATAATCGTAGCTGCTTGAAAGAAGAAAACTCATAGGTGCCGCTAATATGCAACAAGTTCGTCACAATTATGAAAATTCCTCAAAAGGAGTTTGATTAGGCTTAAGCACAATTCTCAGTCGATTATTATTATTAATTATTGTCTCAATCGAGTATTTATCTTACTTGATCTTGCTTCAAGGCATTCCGCGGTAAACTATGGCTATGGGCTCTCAAATGTGTTACATGATCCGGTGGGCGATTGTGGAGGCAACACTACACCAAAAAAGTGAAAATTTGCAAAACTTCCACTGGATCCTGAACATTTAGACCTATGAGCACCCCTTAAGCCCATGCGCACCTCTAGAAGCCCTACTTACTAGCTAGTAGCCCCTCGACTATCTCTCACCATTCCGAATGGTGAGAGCAAAGTGATAACCTAAAAGAGCTCATCTTCATGGCAACAGCAAGTGAGAAATCGTACAAACACGCCTCTTCGCTGTGTGCACATACAAGCTGGCGTCGAAACGGGGTCTTATAAAGGGCATTCCGGGCAGTTTATTCTACTTTTTTCTCCTCCACTCAGTTACTGAGCAGTTTATTGTTCGTATCTGAGCTCCATTACATACCACCTGTGATCGCGAGCTTTGCCTCTAAACTCCATATCCCATGAGTGGGGAGTCTGAGGTTGCGTACTCTTCTTATCCCTGAGATGGAGTAGGCGTGGCACTCGAACATGGCATGGAATGGTTACTCGTGGGATATTCCAATTTGAGACAACTGTCATCTTGTTCTGTGTTGGACAGAGACACGACCACAATTGTGTCAAAATGAAAATATCTCTCCAAAGCTAGCAACCGCCACTTTCAGTTGAAGTACACAGCCACCACCGCTCAGGGATTTGGGGTGTCCTTTCGAACGTGGCGGCAGCCGCGCTTCTGGAGGAATATTGCACTTCCGGAACAGTTGCAAACATGCCTTTGCCCACTACAAGATATTATAGAATAACACTTTTATCGAATGGGAATATCTTTCGAGTAAAGTACATAGCCACGCTCACTCCACTGCTGGGATGATGGTGCACGTAGAATCGAGAGTGAGAGATCGTAGTGAACGATCTATCTTTTCCAGTTCAATTCCATTCCTCACCTCTCATTCAGCCAAGGTGCATGTCGCATTCCACGTGCGCCATGCAAGCTTCCGCAATAATGCTGTTTCTGGTGGACTGCATTATCCACCTAGAAGCCATCTGGCACGGACTCTATGCATGTCTATGGGATGGCTTTTCGGGCTCAAAGAAAAGCTCACTGTAAAATGCTTAGTCCCGGTGCCTTCCTCAGCAGAGTTGGAAATTGGTGAGAAATACAATCCTTACTACTTACTACTTGATCACCACGGACTGTGCCTCGAAGCAATAAAAAGCTGTTTGTTCGTCACAATCCTGCGGAATTCGCAAATCATCGTAAATAAGTGGTGGCCAAAGATCTGCACAGGAGCTTATTAATTACCAGAATTAATGAATGAAGCAATCAGTTTTACAGCTCACACAAGCGGACGTTCCGGAGCTTGCGGAAAAGGTACGGTCCATGATGCTCGAGGTCTATTATGAAATCAGTAAGGAAGCTGCAGAGAAGATGGAAAGGAAACGACTGCAGTCGTCATGAAATTTCTCCTAAGTTTGATCTTCAGCTATGATTCGATGATGTAAAAAGAGAATTAAAGTCCATTAAAGCGTAATAAATCGAAATGCAAACCATTTTTTTTTCAAAGTTCTCAACAGTCTGAACATGTATCCCTGGGATGGAAGGGCGTGCTCCATTTGAACATGGCGTAGGTTGCGTTTCTTTATATTTGAGACAACTCTCATCCAGTCTTGTATGGTATACAGACATCACCCAAATTGTCCCAAAACGAAAGTATCCTACCCCAGAAGTATCCCAGAAGAGCAGACTGCGCTACTCTCGAATGAAGCACGCATTCACGCCCTTTCCATCTCTGGCATACTTAGCATAAGCATATGAACTTGTCGGCAGTGTCGTAAATACACATCTTCACGGCACTGCCGGCAAGCTCATATGCCATAAAAGCCACCAAGCCACATTTTCGTGATTTCTTTGCAAAAATTCTCTGAGACAGTGCTACAGAATTGAAAAGGACATTTTCATCGTCTCCCTACTTGTTCTACACTGGTGTTGTGGCGCGTAAGCGACAACAGTTGGTGGGAAGCGACTGATACGTAGGCGGCGTTCAGACTTCGCGACGGGAGCGCTTCGGTCTTCGCCATGGCGAGCGCTTCGGTCGCGCATTCGATACGATCGATGCGCATGCTTTCGACTCTATCGATGGCGTCGAACGCGCGACCGAAACGCTGCCGTCGCGAAGTCTGAACGTTGCCGTAGGCATCGCTTGCTCGCTTTCAACAACTGGGAACGGGTTTGACCTCGCGCTTAACCCACCTCGCATGGCATGCCCCTTCATCCGCAGCGAAAGAGCCACCCACGGTTCCGAGTACATCTATTTATTTCGATGTTTATATGTGAATGCCTTACCATTCCATATTAGTTCGAGAAGAAGGTTAATTGCACTAGTTTTTGATGCACTGTCTTTTCCAAGTGCTCTCAAAAAACGTTGAATTCCTGTCCGAGTAGAGGGGAATGTAGGCACCATCTTCTAGGAATACTCTCTTTTCAAGAAAGTACGCGCCAGACAAAATAGTATAATTTAATTCATTATAATGATCACAAACACAAAAAAAACAGCTGACTAATGGAAATAAAAAACGACTTTATGAAAATTCAAATGCTAACAACGAAATTGATTGAGGAGCAGTAGTTATACAGACGCCAGCTGGAAAGGACTCGCTCCTCTATGGATTCAGTAAGGATGAGAAAACGTTCAAGAACGAGGACGCACAACGGAAAAAGCTGATGGGCACTAAAGTCAGAAACGGGTAGCTGCTGGCCGTTTAATCTAACAACACTGTTCACCATTCTGGCACGTAACCAAAGGCCTACTTGAACACACACACACAACAGCAAAGGTTCGTTTTCAATAAACAAAAAAAGTCGATGAAAAGGAAGAAAGCGCTAAGAATAGTGAGAGCATCAAGAGAAGAAGATCACACAAGCACAACGAGAAAAGGGATGAGGTATAATTATCACCATGAAAGCTGTGAAAACATGAATCAGACCTCCACCTAGTCTGCTTACAGATGCTAATTAAAGTTTGTTTATGGCAAGCATGACACGAGCTGAAACGACTACGAACAGCTCTTAGGCAGGGCCTCCTGCTTCTTCGTACTCATCCTCCATACGAGCCGCCTTAAGTTCACCTTAAAATACTAGTAACAACATATCGATATTCACTAATACTATTTGGCGTGCACGGCGAGTGAGCTAGCCAGCTCCCTATTCAGGGGAGGACAAAAAGACGCTTCGCTCAAGGTTAATCATTAAAGTTTCCGTAGCCCAGGATGGTAAGTTACGCTTATCCAAAGCCAGGTATTCTTCAGTGTTTTTCTTCGAGCGGGAGCAACTAGCACCACTGCACATATTGTAAACGGAAAAGTGGAGGCGTAGAGACCGAGCGAAGAGCTTGGGGATCCAGAGCCTGAATGAACTTTGCCTAGCACGGAGAACACATCACTCAAAATCTTATAGAGCTGTCCGTACAAACACAACATTTTGTTGTTCATAACTCGATCGCAGGGCAAATTTAACAGAAATTCTGCATAAGGATAGGAGGATTGGAAGTCTAGAGTGTCCATTTACCATCCACTCGAGGTTTTGGTTATGTGGCAGGAAAACCGTAATTCGCCGAGCTAGTAAGCGACGCGTGTGACGTCACGCCCGCTAATAACGACAATTTCAGGAAGTGTTGGTCATTAATAGACAAGGTATGAAGAAAAATAGACATGAGTGTCTATGTCCTTGTCTGAATGAAATCCGCTGCTACAATCGAAAGGGTAGCGCAAATCAAGGAAATGTCACGCCCGCTACCGGGGCGCCGCGCCGACGGACGTTTACGATTCACTTTCCCGTCTCAGAGGTTTTACACTGCAGCTGCGTATTGCAGCAAATGCCCTTCTCCCTGCATATTTTGCCGTCGCTTGACATTTATGTATAACATTTATTTGGAAATGCCTTCAAAAATTGAGTGCTAAAATCTTGCTCAATAAAAAAGAAGAAACGAGTTTTCATCCTTCAGCAAGTGACAAGAGTATCATACTGTCGTTATCAGTCGTTTTCCATCAAATGTTGTCGCTCAGCCGTTTCAAGAACTGGTGTAGGAGAGGCTGACGGGGCGCTAAATCCAGCCTCACTGACACGCCATCATCCGCAGCGAATAAGACTGTATGTTGCGAACAGGTCACCGACCGTACGGCAGTTAGGATCCCCTTGATTTTTTTCATATTTTTTCTCGAAGGAAAACAATGTTAGAATTTAACAAGACGTTTCAGAAAACCACCTTCATATCATTCAGACCCAACTCGTCATTTTGCTCGAATGTTCGCTGATAAAACTCCTTGTGTAAGCGCGGATCTTCCATTGGAGCAGTCAAACTCTATAAAAAAGGAACATCACGTACCAATCACTGCAAACTTATAGAAATGCTTCAAACAATATTAATGCCTCCGAATAAACAAGAAAGTCATACGGAACTGACCTGAATATAACTATTGCCCGCTGGATCGTCAAGCACCACAGTGATACCCTTTTTCAAACTGAGAATCTGAAAAAGGCTAACTCTTTGATGTCGAGCGAAAAGCTAGACCAACAACTCACGTCGTCAAACTGGTCAAGGAACTGCTCAATCTGACTTCTTTCGCCACTGGAAGCGCTGTCACCCATGAAAAACGACGACTGCTAAAATCATAAAAAACGGATTATAAATATACCATTTTCACTTTGAATTCGCGACTTTTGAAACCACATAGACATTTCGAATCAAATTCTCGACTCTTTGAATCAAAGTCAGGATTAATTTCCACTAGACACGCTGCAAGCCCCGCACCTACAGCCACGCCCACATTTCAGCGTGGTCGAGACTTTTCAAATTTTATTCAGTACCTTCTGCTTTCTGTGATAAAGTTCTAGCACTTTTCTTACTTCGCGCATACAAACTAGCTGAAAACGACTGTACATCGGCACATGGGCAACTCCGCCCACTTTTTGAAGAACTTGTGGCAAACCTTGACTTGTCATAACTTTTTTCAACGTCGTTGTTTTCACTTCCACTCTTACAACGACTGCCCATCGTGAAAGGCTCCGCCCACGTCGTAGAAGCCCCGCCCTTTTTTGAAAAATGATGCAAATCGACAGGACAGATTCTTACCTGCATGCTAGGGTCTCGTTCGTCACTGGGAACAAATTTCGCCGTATTTTTTGTCGCAATCAAAAATGTCATGAAAAGTAGGGGTTTGGAACAATTTCTTTAATAAGTGGGCGGAATTGCCCATGTGCCGATGTACACTCCTTTTCAGCTAGTATGTGCAAAATAACAAAAGTGCAAAAAAGTCACAAAAGCAGAAGTTATAAAATAAAATTTGAAAAATCACGACCACGCTGAAATGTGGGCGTGGCTGTAGGGCGGGGCTTGCAGGAGTGCCTAGTGAAGCATGGAAAACGAAGCCTTGAGAAACCAAGGGAATTAACTAATATTCGAAGATTCAACAATTTGGTTCGAAGAGTCAAGAATTTGGTTTGAAAAGTCGTGAATTTAAAGAGAAAATGGTATAAATGGAATAGTTGTACGATGACTATGTTTAAGAATAAGGACCTGAATTTTTTTCAAATGCATGAATATTGCAATTAAGCACCTACAGAAGACAACTGCTCCCGAGTAGCCGTGAGAAGACCTTCGACGGTTGTAAAGCGACTACACAGGGCGCCTGGTCCGACCTGAAATAACCTTTTTCAGTGTTTCGTCACTGCCCGTTGATAAAGCCTCGATTACCTCAAGATCCAGCTCTGGGAATACTCATCGAACAGGTATCTGACTTCAACACATCTCGAGCGAGATCAGCGTCCTAAAAGTAATGACCCTACAATAGTCTGCACATATTAAGAATTTGTATTTGTTCTCTGTGGGCCGATTGTTAGGCTTACGAGACAAAAGATCAGAATCTATGCTATTATGCGGATCTGAAAAGAATGTTTCCACGCTTTGTCTCGTACTCCATATCTCTATCTACGATGGGGGGGGGAAAGCGGGCCGCAATAAAAAAAGGTCAGTTTCGATGAGCAGCATATCAGTAAAGTTTTTCGCAGTCCAACAGAGGACGTAGATAAGAATATGGAAGATTATCAAGATGTTCTCCTATAAGTAGGAGCTGGGCTCTCGCCTATCACCTCTCATGTACGACCAAAATATGAATGATCCCAGGTCCAGCCTGGAGGAGACCTTTGGAATTCATGTCACCTCCAAACAGCTGCGAAACTTCTAGTATGGAGTCACCCATGGATAGCTACCTGGAGACCAGTACTCTCGATCTGGAAGACCTCCAACATCGAGCAGCTCCGACAACGTCGCCACGGTCTAGGACATCATCTTCACCGCAGTCGCCAAGGCGCGGGTTGATGGTATGGACCGGACGTACCTGGAATGGAAAGACCAATATTTTCTTCGTGGACCCCGGACTGAAGGTGAGCGCTGGCGGTTACATCGAGCAACTCGTGAAGAATATCCTCCTCACATGTCGTCGCCCGTACCTTCTTGGAAACTTTGTGTGCTACAGGTTGGGTGCCACCACATGGAATCGAAGGGCGTTGGAAAAACTCTCGCCTACTTGGAATGGAAGGGGGTTGAGTACCTGAAGAAGATGGAATATCTAAGTGGTCACCTGACCTAAACCCCTCAATTACCCGGTTCGGGCGGAGTTCAATAGGGTGGTCTACGGTGGCGGAGAAATCGACTATCTCGCTGATCTCAGGCACCACATCGCGGTCGCGTGCCAGAATCTCTCGATGGCGCTCGTCCAGAAGGCTGTGGCGGAGTGTCATGATAGTATTTAATATGCTCTTTAATATGGTGGTGGAAATGTCCGATCAGAATTTAATAAAGTGTAACTTATAGCGCCTCGAAAGTCAAGGAAGAAAAGTGACTTTTTTTACTGGCTCCCCCTGTACATGCCTCGTAACCGTTACACTGCAGAGCTACAACCTTCAAAGGGAAATGCAGTGATGAGAATTGTATTCTTCCTCTCACTGGGCGAAGGTCACTAACCTCTTTGATTGTTAAGGATAACCGACAGCCGTGATCCTTGATAGCTCCTCCGCTCTTCACTTCGTTTGTTTTGAGACCGCAGTTCTCGCAGGTCATCGCCATTATTATTACCGTTTGGAAAAATGGAATATCTTAATAAGATGACTTCACTGAGAAACTTACACAGTAATGAGCTTTTAGACTGTTATTGTTTGATAACTGCTGTTTAACGCCGCAGTGAAGCAGAAGATGCGGGTTCGAGTCCCGCCCGTGGTCCGACTTTTGCCCACAACTCAGCATTCTTGTGATAACAGTAATGAGCTTCAAGGCACAAGGCGCAATAATTTGTACACGGCAGTAGATGAGCTATATAGT